AGTCTGAAACAGACCTAGAGATGGGTGAAAATTCAGACAGCAGGATTAATAGCTGGAGTGGAGAGAGACCATTTTTTCCTTTGAAATTGGAGGGAAAAAAGAAGTAGATAAATGCACACATTCTGACTCTCAGAGTGGAAATTCGAGCTTTGACGGCTGCATATGTTTTCCAAATCACATGAGACTAAAATGATAGACATTTTTGCCTTGCCTGTGCCATTCTCCTCAGTATGTGTATTTTTTAAATGGGGATATTTAGTGTTTAGTTTAAGTTTGGTGCTTGTTAAATCATTAGAAGCTTCAATTTTAAAAATGGGTATAATCTTGACTTTCTTCTTTAAAATTCCAGGATGTCATAATATTTTAGTTAGTAAAGTGCTTTTCCTTTCATTGAGTACTGTAACACTATCTTCTTGGAATTCACAATTGGATTTCTAAAACCTTTTAAAGAAATTTAATAGTTCATTGTGCTTTTACAACATCAAAACAAAAGAAAAAATTTGGCAGTGAATTTTTGGTCAGGCTAAGTCACAAAATATTTCAGTCAAAGTGTGGCATTTTTGGAATAAGACTTTCAGCTACTGAAATGTGCCTATAACATCCTGTCCAAAGAAAGTAGAAAGGGTCTGGAATTTAGAATGGTGGCAAAACTCAGAGCTTTATGCTTTTATGTGGAATATGTATTATGCCAAAGATTATTGAGATAATATGCGATACCAATAGCAAGAAGAAATACAAATTGGACTGATTCTGAATAAGGTATCTGGGGATAAGTTCTTTCATATCAGATTCCAGAAAAAGCACAAATGTAACTTACGTGTGTGTTGGAGTATCCTAACAAGAAGAAGAGGACTTTATTTCTCACTGTGTCATGAGATCACACCTGTGAACTTGTATCTGTTGACAGTGAACTAGAGAATAAAAAGAAAAAAAAAGAGTGAGAGATGTTTGGGGAAAATTCACTGTGCCTTTAATAATGTCTACTTGAGTGGAGATTTCTGAATATTTTCTTTCCTTTGCGTTGCTTGGAATTCAAGTTCACTGTTCCTTCCACCGCACAACTAAGTTTATCCTTTGGGAATATGCCTTCAGATCCACATAAATAGCTAGAACTTCTGTTTTCCTGTATATCTTTTTGTTGCTTAGATAATTATGTGTCCTCGTATCCAGTAACAATTCCTTAAATTTCTTTGGGGATTGATATTGAGTTGTAGCTCTTGTCACCTTTTTGTTTCTTTTAAAGCCTCACTCCTTTAGGGAAAATAAACCTTAAGTTAGTTAAAATTTCACATCACGAGATTTGAGGTTTTTTCCATCACTTCCCATTTCTCTTCTGAGTCTTTGAAATATAACCTGATGAAGCAGTGATTTCACTTCTGGTTTATATGTTATAACGGAGTCATTGAATTCAGAAGATCTGTTAAATTCTGTAATTTCATGGGGAAAAAAAATCTTTTCCCCTCCAGAAAGTTCATTCTGAAAGTGCGGGACCAGGAAGAAGCTTTTCTTTTCACACTTCAGTCAAAGTATTAGCTGCACTGACTGCCCTGTTCTTTGACAGACTTTCTATCCAGTAGCAATTCCATCGCGGCTGATAAGTGTGTCAGCGCAGGAACTCCATCAGCCTTATCAGCACCTGCCACTCACTGTTGGATTCATATATCTCAGCTTTAAAATGTTAAACTTGATTTCGTCCTTCTGTGAATATCCCTGCATCTCAAGTAAGCCAGGGGAGAAGTCTACGTACTGAATTATATTCTCTTCCTTCCTCTTTTAAGGTTTTAGCCATCAGAATTGTTCTCTCTTTCTCTCTCTTTTTTCAATATTCCATCATAAATAATTAAATTGTATTTATTTATTGTATTTAAATTTTAAATAAGTTTCAAATCCGTCTGTCCTTCCCAATGTGAGTTCTTAAATTTTTTCAAATCCAAGAAATTGAAGGAGAACATTATAGTTAGGAAAAGATCTTCCTCAGTACTAACTGCTCCTTCTCACCCAGGCCTTCATAAGCGCTGTTTTCCTCACTTTGCTGATGGAGAAGCAGGTTCTAACATCATGGCTCATGCCCAGTTCTTGTCTTAAATACAGTGCTGACTAAATATGTCTTTCTTTCCGTGTAGTATCCTCTTTTTAAAACATACTTAGGTAGTTTACATTTATGGCAGTTATCTGGGTTAAATGAAATAGATTTTGATGTCTAACTTCTCATTATCTGTCCCCTCCCCCGGGTTCTCTAGTACTTTCTATATTGTGCACCAGTCCCTTCATTGTCACCGATATTCTTCCCTTTGAAAATGAGAAGTCAGATGTTGTTTGCTATCTAATTCTTTATTTGGTACCATGTTTAATAAAAGAAAGTAAATAAAATAAAATAAAATACAATTTTTCCATCGTCTAGGCTGATCCCTAATCTTGATTGAGCCACAATTCACATGAAGTTTGGATACAGTGTGTGTGTGTGTATGTGTGTTCATACTTTCATTTTAACCTGTATTTTGGGTAAGCTATATTCAAACATTAGTCTTAAGCAAAGACATTATTGGTAGGAAACCTAGAATTCAACTCTGAAAAAGGAATATTCACATATTTTTCCAAGAAGCATGGGTGAGGAAGACGTGAGATAATAAAGAAGAATGTGTACTGCTGAAATGGAATATAAATGTTAGTTACTGTCATTCTGAAGGATTTAGATTAATAAATTACAATGTGGAGGCCATGACATTGATCCCACATGCTTTTATGGATGCTGACATGGATTTGGAAAGAAGTGCTGGGGAAGTGGGTGACAAAAGGCTGACTTTCTAAGACAAATGTGTTAACCTTACTACTGATACATAAATGGGGCATTCAGGATCAGAAAATTAAAATGAGATATGTAGAATCATAATTATTCTGATTTATTGACATTTTAATTATACTGGAGGAATATTAAACTGTTCTTGTTATCTGATCATATATATACTATTACCATTATCCTGGTGAGTTAAAGCATCCCCAAAATATGAAAATTATAATCACACTTCAAGCAAGTAATTTGCACATCTAAAATTAATACATTTGAACACCAGTATTACTCTTCATTTTGCTCTAAAAATTAACATTGCCACTTAAAAAACTCTCAACACCCCGTGTCTGCAATTGAGAAAATAAATTTACATAATGCTGTTTAGTTGATCATTATACGTTTAAAACACCAAAACTAATAAAATGTGAAATATTTGAGAAAAGTTTTCCGGATTATGGGATTCCCAGTTTTTGGTTAGTCTGTGAAGGGGCCTCAATAAAATATTAAATTTATTATGCCAGAAAGGAACGAAATAATAGTTTTATCTTTTAGATTCTGAACAAAGATATTTGAGAAATCAAGATGAATAATCTGAACATCAAAGGGTAAAATTTAACTACTTGTTAACTAAAATTACCATTAAATTGATGTAGCATACAAACAATGTGTAATATCCCAAATTGAAAACATCACATTAAATATAATTACATTTGTTAATGCAAAGCATATTTAATCTACAGTTAAAGCATTATTCAAATTACGTTAATTTACTCATAAGACGATTAGGTCTAAAAAGATCAATTAAGATGAATATGCATGTTCAGGTACCTAGAATGCCCCATTAATTTTAATTTAATATAGTAAATGTGTGTAAATAAACATGTGAGTTGAATATAAATGACACAGAATAATAAAATAGTTCATAAGTATGAAATCAGAAACTAACAGCAATAAAGAAATTCTATTCAAAACATAATATATTATTCTCTAAATTTGTGTCATTAGGATGATACCAAATCAATATACTTTCCAGCAAACATGTTCTTATTAATCTATCTTAAGATGATCTTTTATTTATTTGAAATAATTTCCTCTTCTTCAACTGTTTCTTTACTGTAACTTCCAAATAATAATACATTTTATTATGAATATACTTCTGCCTTGTAGTTTATTGTTTCATGATATAAAGTAATAAAATTAAGAAAATAGTATTTTGCAGGGCTGGCCTGATGGCTTAGTGGTTAAGTTCACACCGTCTGCTTCGGATGCCCAGGGTTGCAGGTTTGGATCTCCTGCACAGACCTACACTGTTCATCAAGCCATGCTGTGGCAGCATCCCACATATAGAAGAAGAATAGAGGAAGATGAGCACAGATGTTAGCTCAGGGCCACTCTTCCTCAAGCAAAAAGAGGAAGATTGGCAACAGGTGTTAGCTCAAGGCCAATCTTCCTCCCCAAAGGAAAGAAAAAGGAAATGATATTTCATAATCAACTTTCTATGTTTTCAATTCTTTTCTAAACCCTTCCTTTGGAAATTGAATTGCCTAGACTCATCTCGTTCATTAATATCATCAGTGCACATTCCTTCCCCCTCAGTGAATTCCTTACAAAGAGAAAAAATAAAATTATGCTCATCAAGGTCAGTATGATATTTTATTGACAGTAATGTCATAACTCACATTACCTTTGTTGTCAGTACTTACTAACATTGAGAATAGAATACATGACAGGTGAAAAACATTTTACCCAGGTAGTGATATTCCATAATCTCAACAGCATCTCCATGATTAACAAAATTGACTGTGAATGATATATTTGAAGATCTCTGGTCCAGTTTTGGGACTTTAAAATATAGCCTTTGATTTTCAAGGTTCTCTGCTAAAAACTACATATTTGTAATAAATTTTGTAAATAATTTCCAAAAATTATAGGTGCATCCTCTGACAAATGTCACTTTTTAAAATAACTTGCCGAATGCTAACCTCTTTTTATTCCTCTTAGATTAGGACTTTGCCACTTGTGTTTCTAGGTAACTGAAGAATTATTTTCTATTTCCATTGTTTAAGGGGAAAAAATTCTTAACTCTTATTACTTAATAATGGTATCATTGTTATTATTGGCGTCATTATGAGTTGTTACGTGTGATGCAAAGTAATTAAAAAATATACTAACGCTAATCCTTGTGTTTTTTGGTTTTTGTTTGCACTTTCAGAGACAAAGAAATAGCATGGCATGAAACATGGCTCAGTTCTATTACAAAAGAAATGTTAATGCCCCCTACAGAGATCGCATCCCTCTAAGGATAGTTCGAGCAGAATCGGAACTCTCACCGTCAGAAAAAGCCTACTTAAATGCTGTGGAAAAGGGAGATTATGCAAGCGTCAAGAAATCCCTAGAGGAAGCTGAAATTTATTTTAAAATCAATATTAATTGCATTGATCCTCTTGGAAGAACTGCTCTCCTCATTGCAATTGAAAATGAGAACTTGGAGCTCATTGAACTGCTCTTAAGCTTTAATGTCTATGTCGGAGATGCTCTATTACATGCTATAAGGAAAGAAGTCGTCGGCGCTGTTGAGCTGTTACTGAACCACAAAAAGCCCAGTGGAGAAAAACAGGTACTTGCAAAATACTATTTTTAATTTATTTTCCTTTCGTAAAGGTTCTATAGATATTCAAATTCTCCCAAATTTTAAGAAATAGAAGCATTGGAATCAGAAGCATTGTCACGGAAAATAACTGTTAAGTACACAGTTCACATCCTCCGACAGTCATCTCCTCCTGCACTGCCTACTCTGGCAAATCAGACCTTTAGTGAGAACTAAAGCAAAACCAAGTAACATATGTTGGCTTCCCGTACATTGGAAACATTTCTATGTAGTGCTCAACATATAATGGTTATGGGGGCTTACTGTGTATGTGTGGTGTTTTTCCTCTTGTTTTTTATTTCCTAACGTTCTACAGCAGCAGACTGAATTCTTTGGCTATTTTCCTGTTTAACCTGCTTGCCTCTTCTGAGATTCTGCATCTTACTGCAAAAGTGAATTGCACCATCTAATTTTGATATTGCTCTGAGCCAACTCTAGTGGATTCTTTTAAATTGAGACTTAAATAAAAAAACAAAAAGATTACTAGAAAAGAACTGAGCTCTGAATGTAGACCTAACTATATCTAATTTACTAATGGCAAAAGTGTAGCTATAGGTCAACGTCTTCAGTAGAAAATAAGCAAAAATGGCGCACAATTATCAATACAATGTGGTTTTTTCCCCTGTTATCTTCCTGGTTTTTTACCACTAAGGAAGTGGAGAAATTGTAGACAGAAACAAAAAAGGAGTCTGTTTTTGTTTGTCTAGATCTTTCCCTTTGTTACTGCCTGTACCTGAATCTATTTGATCCTTATTCCTTTCACATGGGACTCTTCAGTTCCCTGTATCAAGTCTAATTGACTAATTGCAAAGACATTGCTCTTACTGCAGTGGCTCAAAATCTGTCTTTTAAAGTGAAATCACATAAAATGTGTGTTATTACAGCTCTAGCAATTTCTGTCCTGCTTGATAATGCAAATCTCTATCTCTGAAAATATAGACTATTGGGAGATGTTACATTCATTTAAAGCAAAGTCTACTGTAGCTACCATTACGTTTGCTTCACTGGAAGACTTTTATACGATCCTTGCTATTATTGGGAGAACAACTTCTTGGCTGAGTGTCACCTGAAAAGCTCTCCCTGTGTTCTCAAAAGTCTGTGCTCTATGGTCCATTCTTATAACTCATCACTGTTCACTCTTTCTTCTTACCCAAACCTAAACTTTGATAAAACAACACTCCACAGTAACAGTATTTCTCTGCTTGTCGTTATACTGGTGTTTTGTTGTTTGTTTCATACCCAGTTATTTGTAGGTTACCTTCCTATCATATTGGTAAAACTTTACTGATAGGAAAATTTGCTTGTTTTATCTATCCTTTCAAACTTTTACAAACCCTGGCAGGGATGGATAGGTAGTGGGTGCATCTAAAGACTTACGTTATGTTATATCCCAGCTTATCACCACTAAGGAAGTGCAGAACACAGGCGGGAATGAACAGGAGTCTGTTTTTATCTGTGTTAGTTCAGGTGCTATTTCCTTAGTCACCTTATGATTTTGAAATTTCTTCCGCAATCACACCCTTAAAGTATTTGCATTTTTTTTTTTTAATATTGGCACCTAGGCTAACAACTGTTGCCAATCTTCCTTTTTTTTTTTTTTTAAGGATTGGCACCTGGGCTAACAACTGTTGCCAATCTTTTTTTTTTTTCTGCTTTATTTCCCAAACCGCCCCCCACCCCCGAGTACATAGTTGTATATCTTAGCTGCAGGTCCTTCTTGCTGTGGGATGTGGGACGCCGCCTCAACGTGGCCTGACGAGCGGGGCCATGTCCGCGCCTGGGATCTGAATCCTGGGCTGCCGCAGCAGAGCGCCCGAACTTAACCACTCGGCCACGGAGTCGGCCCCAGTATTTGCATTTTTAATAACAATGATCTTATATTGTACACCTTCTTGTTTTATGCCTGTGTAGGCAAACATAAGATAGATGTTGTGACTGAAGGTCTAGATCATTTTAGAGTGGAACAAGTCTATAGAACAAAACTGCCATTAAATTTGTTTTTCATGTTTATTATTAAATAACTTTCCTAGTTATATTTTCTAGAGAAATTTGCCATACATTTCAATGTCTCTTTAGTCAATGACATTTGTGCTGCCCAGAGTAATTTGGTGTCTGGAGAAGATATCTGCTATTATGAGAGTGCTTGTTGGAAGATATTCAACTTCTGAGCTAAACTCTAGTCTCACAAGTGGTCTTGGCTCCTTAGAGGCACTTGATCTGAACCCTGATTATTAATAAAAGGCAGTAAAGGTTTGCAATCTGCCAGGAGTCTGAAATATCCCAGGCCACGTGTTCCTGGAAGATTTATCTTGTATCAGTTTGCTGGCCAAGAATTTTCCTTTTCTATTTGTACATTGTAGAATTGCTCTTCAGTGAAGGCACTGGGAATAAACAAAAATTGTATCTTTTTGCTTGAACGTTCTAATTTTGATAGAACAAATCCGATCTACCTCAGAATTCCTGGTATCTGGTACAACGAAAGTGAGGCTATTACAACATGAAATGTATACAGTATAGCACAGAAGAGATGTTCCCAGGGCTGGGGGTGCAGTGAAATCCCATTAGAGCTTGGCTGTTGATCTGTGGTTTACTTGGGTAATACATCTCCAGTGCAGCCAACATCTTTTGGAATAACAGTTTCCAAAAAACAGTGTGTTGTAGGTAGCAAATATGTTCTTGATAGGAATTTTTCTCCCATAAATTGTAATTCCTTAGATGATTCTTGTGATCATTGAAAGCCATTTTGGGTATTATTATAATTTGCCTAATTCCCATTCTCATGGATATCCCCCAAAGACTCTGGAACACAGTCCATTAATTTTGTTGAGGTTTATTGAAGCCAAGTGTTAAAACCTGAAAACAATACCCAAGTCGACAAAATAAACATAAGTTGTCCTAAAATGAGTCAATAAAGAGGATCTAATATAAAAATCATACAAATCTGATGATTGGAACGCTTACGTAGAACTTAAAATGTGCAAATGTGGATTAGGATATATATTCGTCTTTTACAAATTTGGCACACATTAATTTCTTTCTGTGGAAAAAGATGCAGTGTTTGATGGCATCCTGAAATCATGAGAGCTATGAGATTTCAGATTAATTTGTCTACCATTGCAGTACATTCACCAGGGAACAGCTTAGGATTTGTGTATGCTTACTGTGTCAGGCCCTGTGCTGGGTGCTGGGGAGGAGGCACAGTTCCTGTTCTCCAGAGTCTTGAGGTCTAGTTGTGAAGAGAGACAGGAAAAATATCACAAGAATATGAATAAAGGGGATCACAATGGAAAATATGAAAGAGAAATAAATCCTCAGCTAATTATGAAGCTAAGTTGACTGGATTTGATAAATACAAAATATTCCTGGGTAGGGGGCATGAAGGAGAAGGAGAGGGGCCTGAAGAAGAAGGAGGAAGAATGTTTAAAGGTTTATAACTAGAGAAAGTTAAGTGAGATACTTAATGAGTTTATAGGACCTGGTTGGATATACTCAGTTTATGATTTATTGAAATCGATGTCTAGGAGGCAATAGAAATTTTGGACTTAAGAAAGAGTCTGGAATTGATATATAAATAGTAAGGACATTGAAACAAATAAAATCACTTGTCTTCCTATCATTATGACATTGATTTTCTCTTCTTTCCCTGACGTATTGTTTGAATGTTTGTGATGGCTAGTATATTAAAAGATTTTTTCCATGCAGCATCTAATGAAGATAAATAGATGGGCATAGATCATTAAATATTTCCTTCCATATTTAATGTAGACCTTCATAAATCAGGGTATTGAGTTCCTAGTGTTTTATTTTTACTATAGAAAAACGGAAAGGGTAATAGTTCATTTCTTTCATGTAGTAGACAGCCTAGAGACCGTGTGGTTCTCTACACTAAGCAGGAAGATAAAACATTATGTATTCTTATGGGGAATGCTCTCTTGCCGGAATCATTAGTCTGATTTTCTCTGATGATTTTATTGAACTTTTCTTTAACCTCCTTGGTACCTTATTTATCTACAAGGAATAACTTAGAGTGACATCTTACCCGCCTTTTCAGTCAATTGATTGGTTACTTGACTTCTAATTATTTCTCGCAGACCTTTCTCTTCAAGGTCTTCTAAGGCCAGATTCAATTTCAGTTTCAGCTGCTTCAGTAAATTTTTATCAGAAACAGAACTTTCTTTTCCATTTTTCACTTATACAGAGGTTCTCAGTCTTAAGCATCATCAGAAACACTGGGTGGGCTTGTTACAACACAGACTGCTGGACCCCACCCAAGAGCCTCTGATGCCACAGGTCAAGAATGGGGTTCTGGAACTTGTGTTTCTAACAAGTACTCAGGTGATACTAATGTGCTGGTCTGGAGATAACACTTTGACAACTGACTTAGAGGATGTTGAAAGTTACCAAATACCTATAGCTGTTTAGGTTAGGTGTGTTGAACTATGCTATGCTAACCTGGCTTTCAGGAGATTTCAGTTAATTCCCTTAAATACTAATGATTCAGTGGTCTTTAATATATGAGAGTTTCCCAGTTTTACTAATATTTTTATTTTTTCCCTTCTTTGGGAAAAAGACTTTGCTAAAGATTACTTATTCATTCAATATTTAAGATCCTAGAGTATTTCAGTTGAAGAAATTTTGGTTTTAAAGCTCTGCTAGAAGGAATACCAGATTTTATAGTCATAAGAGATTTTGGAGATCATCTAATCTAATCTCTTCATTTTACAAAGGAGGGAAAGGAAAGAGAGATCCGATGGGGTTTGGAGTTGGACCTGAATAAAAGGATCTATAAATTAATAGCAACCAACTTCAGAATAGTCTGAATGATGATATTAATAATGATAGTAATAATGACAGCAACAATAATAATACTAGGTAGCATTCATTGAGCCTGTCACTAGGCCAGTAACTGTGATAAGAATTTTGTTTGCATTATGTCATTTAATCTTCACATTATCCTATGAAGGTACATA